AGAGAGAGAGAGAGAGAGAGAGAGAGAGAGAGAGAGGGAACCTCCGGCAACGGGTCGATCGAAAGCGCAGCGCAGAGAAATGCACCACCTCTGCTCTGGTCTGGCAGCTTTGCGGGCGCACCACCGCGTCCGCGTGCGTCAGAAAGAGAGAAAGAGAACGACGGCGCGGGAGAGGGAGAGATGGAAAAAGAGGGAGAGAGAAAGGGACTGACGGAAGCGGAAGGGAGACCGACGTATATCCGCCGACCAATACCGACGCAGGGGGAGGAAGACGAGAGGAGAGCCAAGCCAAGTCGCGTTGGGCTAGGTCAGGTCTACCCGAGTTCCACACACACCGTGCTCTCTTGCGTGTGCCATCCCGCCGAGGAGAGAACCATACGAAGGCGGAGGCACAACCCCTTCGCGAAAGAGAGAACCGTCGCGAGCCTCTCGGTTCTCGCGAGTGGGTTCTCCGAAAGCGCTTCGAGATTTTAAAAAGGAAAAAAAAAAAAGAATTACGCGTCGCGTTCGCCAGTAATAAACGAGAGAGAGAGATTGGTGCCAAAGAGTGTGTGCCGTACTCCGGAAAGCCGGTGACAGTGCGCGTTCATCGGATGACGCTTCGAAAAGGATGACGCGAGAAAGATATCCCGATCGGTAGTGAATAATCGCCAGTGTTGATGCGCGTGTGTTCGGGCCTTAAGCCAGAATTGATTTGCTCTCGATTTGCTCCTAAGCAAGGTGAAGGAAGTAAAAGAAGAGAAGTGAGAAAACGTATCTCCTCTGAGGAGAATCTCTCATCGTCGATTCGCTCGGCGGTGGCGGCGAGAATTGGCATTGTTGACAAACAACAGAAAGTGACGGCGATTCGGGCAAGGAAATGTCTACCGATCAGTAGGGATCGATTGCAATTCCCTTTTTTTCGATGTCCTGATAATCGATAAGCGTCGTCGACGCGTAGGTGGCCGCGTAGGGACCGCCTAGGCAGTGAGAACCGGGGCAGCAATCGGCCTTACCGACGTGATTTCTCGCCCTCGTCATCCGTGCAATCTATTGCGTGATCACAGTTGGGTTAGATAAATGTTGAGGGTAAACGGCGCCCTGCGTCGCCCGCTAGCGCGAGGCCAGGAAAATCGGACCCTAAGTGCAACCGGGGTCGGCGCGATGCCGGTCTCTCTGAGGAATCACAGGATCACATAAAGGGTGGCTACCGGTCCGCGACGATTTTAGAGCCCTTCGTACCGCGCACGCACGGTCGCGCAACGGCGAAGGGATCGTGGCAGAAGAGGGTGTTCTCCGGGTGATCCAGAGTGGTGAACCTACCTACGCCACCACCTCGAGGAACAACACTGTCGTCGTGTTTGGCGGCATCCGATGCACCAAAAGCTGTGAGTACCAGAAACCCGGCCCGATTGACATTCCACAGTTAACACACGTATCACAAAGTACGAGAGGGGATACATCCGTCAAATTATAAAATGCCATTATAAGAATCGAAAATAACAATACAAATTTTCTCAAGTAGTTCTTTGTTATTCTGGAATCTAAAGTGAAAAAACACAGGGATGTATGCGGCCGACATTGCCGCCTCTCGAAACTAACGGTGGTGAGAAAAATGGAGCTCTGTGTATAGCCCTTCGTTATTCCAAACTTGGCAATGGTGAGAAAATAAGTTCTCTGATATATAAAGCTTCTTCTTATGTGCGTATGATTGTTTTAACGAGTTTTACTTATGGGAAAACCAGTGTAAAGGCCAATAGAAATTTCAAATTTCGAATAGATCCAATGAAGTATGTTACGAAGGGATAATATGATATGTGTATATATATTATTTTCATTAAAGACAGATTAACAATTATAAGTGATATAAAAAAAACTGAAAAAACGTATAATGCAACGCGTAGCAGCCGATCAAAATACCATGTACATCCTTTTACTGGAGATCGATCCTGTACAATCGCGACTACAATTTTTGCAATGTTGAGAGTGCAGCGTTCTTCTGTGAAATGCGATACATTGCGTGTTATTTGAACAATTGCAGTCTCAAATTCTAAACTTTTTCAGAAATTTTATTCGGAGGTGAAATTCTAGGAAGAGAAAGAGACGATAATAAAATACCGTTATCGGTAAATATTAATTGAAAAAAATCATTTTTAAATTATATCGAGAATCGATCAATTAATTCTGATGACAAAAAATGAATCTTTCCGTTTAAAAAAGGATAAAATAGATATATAAATAATTGAAAGTTGATGAAAAATAAATATCACACGGTATATGGAATAATCGAGAAAAATATATCTGCGCCAAGCAGAAACCGCATTATATTGGCCCTTTCCATATTGCCTCTTTCAATATTTTCCGAGAAAGGAAAATAGGAAAAAAAATAAAGAAAACTTAGGATTTTGAATATAACAATCAATTTTTGAAGGAGCTGTTACAAGAAGATGAAAATAACCGATTGTTAATTGTCGAGAAAGAATTGAAAAGCCGAGCTTTCAAGGATCTGTAAAGGAGAATTTTGAGAATCTGTAGAATATTGATTTATATAAAAAGGATTGTTAACCGCTACTTAAAAGTTGTAAAGCTTTTCAGCATGTAAATTTACATTTGTTACGTTTCAGCAAAAGAATTAATCTCAAAAATGCGATGTCTATTTTGTAAAAAAAAAAATCTATTTTCCTGAGAATTCGGGAATATGATAAAACGCTTTTGGTCGGAAAATCGCGTCGAAAGCATACGCGAGCGAACGTTTGCGATACCGGCGATGCGCGATTTTCATGGAAATCGAAATCCACCGGGTAGCGAAAACCCTCAGCGGGTGGTAGTGGACGGGGAGGACTTCGGAGTTTATGCCCCCGTCCGCCCCACCGCCCTCTGCTTCTCCTTCCTTCCTTCCTCCCTCTCTCCCACCCCTGCAGTCGATCAATGCGTGGACGGGTTTCACTTTCGCGGTGTTAAAGTGTTGCACCACCGCAAATTGAAGAGCCCGCACTGACGAGAAAACTGGATTGCGGATCACGATTCGTCAATGACATTTTCCAATTATTTGATATTTTTTCATGAAAAATTCTTTGTGATATTAATTTGACGGTATTATTTCGTATTTGTACGATCCTGAATTATTACGTTACTTCACACACATACACAAATATTATCTAAATATGCAAAATCTCAGAACCAAAAGCAATGTGGAAAATAGCCGCGTGATTGAGAAATTATTCTAGATTACTGACCATTAATTGTCTTTACGTTTGTTACTTATTTTTGTATCGATTTAGTCGGTTCCAAATAGTTTCTTGTTTCGATTTGGGTGTATTGCAAATTTATCATTTCCCAGAGTTACGCAAATATAATGGTGCAAGGAATAGAACTGCGCACCGCCAGGACTTTTTAATTATTCCTTCGATAACGATCGCGCCGGTTAACTTTTGCGAGACTTAATGATGATGCTTGAGCTTAATCGAGTGTTTGCTCGACGATAAAAATAAAAAACGTAAACCTATAAAAAAAATAGCAGATAAAAAATAGTGGACATCAATGGTGAAGTTTCGATTATTCATTCGAAGTGTTATTGAACGGATGAGAGTGGAATATACGAACTCGCTTCCTATAGATCGTTAGCAAGTAGGATCGAATAACAAGCGGAAGGTAACACACATGACAACGATATATACGATCAAATTAATAATCTCAAAACGTACTATAAAAATTCAAAGCCTTTCTAATGTACATATAATCCGCTTAAAAGGACATTTAATCCGTCATTTGATTATAAAGCAACTTTCCGTGGCTACTATAAGAATATAAATTAATTACTATTGCAGAATATTGTAGAATATTATAGAAATCCTTAAGCTGTAATGCTTCTACTATAATAAATAACGATGAAATTTGAGATCATTTTGCGCATGGAAAAACGTTGTCGAAATATCTAAAATTTTAGCTAAATGCAGATTTAAAATTAATTTTGTAACCATTAAAATTACATAGGAAACTCAAACATGATAAACAATGCTGTTAAAAATATTTATATTTTAAGAACTCTTCCTAGAAATTATTTTTTAATAAAATTATTTTTAGATTTGTATCTAGTTAAATTTTTAGATATTTTAACAAAATTGCTTTTTTCGTGCAATAAAGGTAATAAAATTCCGTGAAATAATTTTGTTAATCTTTTTTTTGTGCATTGTAAATGTAGCAGATATTTGAAATATAAAAAATATATTATTAAAGTTAATTAGAGCCATTTTCTTTTTGATCCTATTACAAATTATAATTGTGCGTTATTAAAATTTAAAAAAAATATATATAATAAGATTAGGAACAATAAAATAAGAACTTTTTTTTTTAAATAAAATATTTTTGCGTAAAAAATTTTCCGACATCGAATTAAATTAACAAGAGTTTATTAATAATTAATAAGAGTTTTCGATTCTGTTTGCAGCAAAGGATGGAGGCTAGCGAGTGGGATCACGCGACCTTGAGAGAGGAAGAATTCGAGCAGCATGCCGTATATTTGGTACCGGATGTATCGGCATCACCGAGCGATACCAATCGTGCGGAGTCGTCCTTGCCACGGAACCTGGTCCTCAAACCTTCTCAAGCCCTCAACGATGTACGTTTTTTTGTAAGAAAAAAACTCGTCTCGAAATCTCCTCAGCAGAGAGGAGTCGTGTGTTTAATCGTGAAATGCATTGGGTTATCAATTCTTCGACGCTATCTAATTCACGCAAAGTCACGTAAAAAAACTGATAATTTCTGGAAAAAAAAATTACAATCTACTAAAACGAAACATTAAGCGCTATTAAACTGTAGAAACTTTGGAATTTAAATAGATATTCGTACACACGAGAAATATTAATCGTAAACTAAGAATAGTACTGGTAGAAAGTTGGTATAATAATTTGTGACTTAGTCTCTCATTTAGAGTTTTCTTTTCACCTGTCTCCTATAGTTCATAATTTATAAACAGCACAAGTTCTATAATTACAGTTCACATAATGTATTGAGTTTTTAGTTTACTGAAATCTTGTAAAAAAAATTTCGTAAAAATTCTTGGATTTTTCCAGATATTTTTGTTCACAATTCCATATAATTTATCGAAGAATTTTTTAATACAACCGTGAAATAAATTGGAATGAAATAAATTAGAAATAATGAAAATAAATTGGAATGAAATAAATTAGAAATAATGAAAATAAATTATATATTATAAATTAGAAGAAAGGGATTTCCCCCACGAGACTATATTTATCATTTATTTACAATTGGATCCGCGAAATCTATATAGAATGATATATAAATATATGTTCACTTCAATATAGTATCAAGTTACTTTTCTTGAGCATTGATAAAAATTCCGTGAAAATCTCTAATTTTCCTAACGATAAAACAGAAATACCTGAAAATTCTAAATTTTTCTAGATTGTTTCAGGTAAAGCCCGGTTTCATTCAACAGAATCATATAATTTTTATAAATAATTTTTTCTTTTTTTAATTTTCCTAATTTTTCAAGAATTCCTGTATAGAAGAAGATAATAAACAGTAAATGACGTGAATCTTAACAATTGTTACAAACACATGTTTTTAGATAGGTTTTGGATAGGTTTTATGTAAATATGGCGCGGAGCGAGGAGGAACATGAAATGCGCGAGAAGGCGTTGGCCGAACGACGCCACGAAATCAAACTTGACCGAGAGACGAGGCTAATTAACTTACGAAGCATGACCTAGAGGCGAAGTTGAATCGTTACACTTTCCTCAGCGTGGCAGAGGAAAGGAAGAATCGAGAACGTTCAATGCAGTCAGCGCGAAACTTTTGCTCAAAGCTTCTCTACGCCGCTTATGAAATTTCGAGTCCGGTGTGAAAATCGAAATGTCCGCGAATCGCAACGATGTAATATATTGAGAACGAGAAGCGCGCGATGGGCTAATCGACGTCGGTCGAGCTTCCGTTTGTCAAAAGAGAAACAAAAGCATCGGAAGCGCGCGCTGGACTGAAAGCACCGAAGAGTTAAATTAGTTTTGCCGAATGGACGTTTCTATGCACTAGGGCGGATTCTATTCTAACGTGAGCCGGAATGAAAATAGGTTCTATCTTCTGCCACGTATTTTAACACAACGCCGGAATAGATGAGAACGAGTGATGAGAATATCGGAGGAAGCAAACAATACGCTTTTACCAATCACCGATCATTTATACATTTTAGTAGTTTTTGCGATTTCCTGAACGAAGCGTAAAGACTCAAAGAGAAAAATTTATCGATAACGGTAAATTTTTCTGCCGGATTTCGAATCCATTATGAATTATACAATTGATTTATGATTCCGAATTAACATCATCGCAAAAATAATCACTTATTATATTTTACTTTTACTTTTATTCTTTGGAAATCTGTAATATCTTTTATCAAAACATAAAATTTACAACAAGGTACAAAATATTACAAAATTCTCTCTCGCTCTTTCTTATTGCAAAGAATTTTTTATTATATTTATACAATTTGATGTTACAAAAATTAAATCATAATTATGATGTATTATGTAAATAGCGAGAGGTAAGAGGCTAAATTGATGTTTAGCTTCAAATATGCATCATTTCTCAATTTTAGTCAACTCGATTAATCGGAAATTATATATGGTAGGTGTTGGGTGTATGGAGCACCAGTTACATCCCCAAAGGAACACGTTTTGGCCCTCTGGTTGGTCAGGTGTATACGAAAGATTCGGTACCGGCAGACGCGAACCGGAAGTACTTCTGGCGGGTAAGAAATTAATTTGACATCTCTTATTCAACCAAGATATTATTCCAATTTACGGTAAATAATTTTGAGGCAATGGTCAACGTAAGTAGATTCGGTAATACCAATAAAAATTTAAAAAAAGAAGACGCAGAAAAAGTCTAAGATGGAATGAGAAGTCAACAAAGACCAGAAACTGGTTTTAACCGATGTGGCGAGTTTTAAAGCGAAAATCCACGAGAAGCCGTTGATGCCTCGTAATTTATCAATTCGTTACAACGATTATTTGGTTCCTCTACAACTTTCTCACGAAACACACGATACAAATCACGATGACAGTTAACAAATGCAAACATTAACCAGTGCTTTTGCAGTAGTTTTTTTGTAATAGTTCAGTATTTTCTCATAAGAAAATATTTGCGATGATATATAAAATGTTTGTAAAAATTTAAATTGTAACTTTGGTTGAAAATATAACTCTAGAGGCTCTTTATAACCACATAGTTATCAAGAAAATATGTTAATATTTTCATTGACAACATTTTGCACCATAAACTCTTCGGTGTTACTGTAAGTATCGCATATCAGACTGTATCTTTTACTTTAGATGCTACATAACTTTTTTTATTAATAAAGATAAGATATTTTAATAAAAAAAAGATATACATTTACTTATTATTGTTACATTTCTTAATGTCTTACGTTCGAATGAAAGAAAATTTGTTATAATATATTCATTTGATACAATATTTTTACAAAATACTCAGTATATTATATACATGATAAAATGTGTATCATAAAGCACTGAAGGGTTAACGATGTAATAATAAACGATTGATATTTATAGTGTCAGTTAAAATTGCTACCAACATGAAGAATGACTTTAAGAACGTATAAGAAATTTAAAAAATTTTCAAATGATTTTTTGATGTTTTCGGAATATGATAGAGCATATCTATAATTAACAAATATGTATCTATAATTAAAAAAAACTGTCATCGTGATATTCTCGTGGAACCGTTTCAATCGTCGCAAATACAAAAATGATTTTTGCATTGCTCAGGTATACAAGAACAACGAGCTGTTCTATTACATCGACGGTTATGACGTTCAGAAATCGAATTGGATGCGTTACGTGAATCCCGCCTACTCGTCCGAATCGCAGAACCTAATAGCATGCCAGTATAAGGTAAAGTAATTTTACCGATCGCATCTTACAAAGGAGAGCATATATTTGAAATCGCGTCTAGATTATGGGCAAGGGAAAAAGCTCACAATTGTTGCTGCATCCGTGTTTCAGATGAACATTTATTTTTACACGATCAAGCCGATATTACCGCATCAAGAGTTGCTGGTTTGGTACTGCAGGGAATTCGCGGAAAGGCTCAATTATCCGCTCACCGGTGAGCTGATGCTTCAGAGAATACGTAAGTAAATATGTTGGAAACAATTTCTGCGGTCTATCGATAGTTCGGTGATCGATACTCTATGGCGTATTCTAGAGATAAGTTTGTACTCTCACGCAGGATGAGGCGCGAGACATATTAGAGAATTCGTAAAAAGAAACGTTTTTTTTTATCGTCATGTTTATTCAATTTTATTATCCTCATGTTTTTCTTTTAATCCAAGAATTTGTGTCTTGTATAAACTGAAGCATCATTCAATTTCATCATGTTAACACAATGATTGCTCGTTCTTTGATATGATGACACTACGAGTCCTTACACAAGATATATATATATATATTCCCCTTAAGCTAATATAACGTGGAAATGAAATCATAATATGAAAATTTAATGTGCAAATCGAAATCTCGATATACAGCTAATATTAAAACGTTTAGCGTTATGAGGAAAGATCATTTATATCTTGTATTAAATTTCCCTTGATTATTCATATATTTCTGTCAGCATATTTTATGACATTTTTTTATTGTCTGTGTTTATGAATAATCTTCTGTATAAAATAGAAGTTATGATTATTTCAACGGTAGCTAGTGTCGCATAATACGATTTAATTCGAATTAAGAGAATTTTATGTGCGATCTTGTGTTCATTTATACAGCAGAGAACCTTTCAACTATATAAGCGATTTTGTAAATTATATAGTGTAATGTTACAGAAACATTGTAAACCAGGAGTAGTTAACTTTTTTGTCTGGCTTACCATTGGAGATTCGAAATCTGTGGTGTGTCACTTTACTACAGAATTAAGCAAAAAAAAATGACCATAATCTTACTTATACTTTCCTCTCTTGCATTGAAAGCAAAAAAACTTCTTCTGTTTAACAAAGTTTACTTCTTTTACTGTGTTTTGTTTTACATTCATTTTAAGGTAGTTTAGCATGAAAATGAACAAAACAAACACAGTTAGAGAACTCAAGTGTAAAAAATAAAGTTTAGTGAAGTACAGTTGCTATTTTACTGTGTCATGTTTTGTTTTTTTAATTTTTCTCATACAGAGCGTGCTTCTTTAGGCGCATTTACTACTGAGAATGTCTACATGCTAGTAACACGTATTTTGTGTGTATGTGTGTGGATGCGCGCGGATTAGTCGCCTCTGTTATATATATATATATATATATATATATATAT